TCACATTGCCAGCAGGAAAAAGGATGCCAAGCTTTACATAGCAAAAGGCAGCCTGAATGTTGACAACACCAAAGGCAACAGTCAAAATGGTCTACATTTTGTAGCCAACACATATGGTAGATACCCTCTTGTGCTCAATACCATTCAACAAAGCAATTCCAAGCAAGAGAAAATCCTAGAAGCTGACTCCTTTTTTCATCGCTACTTCTCACCCAAACACTAAGCAATTATCATGGCTGTTTTTGAACATATGTGAATGGTAGTTCTATTTGGTCACTGCCACCTCAGCAAAACCTGAGGAAAATTTACTGGAAAAGAAAATATTGCCAGGGAAGGGCAATAAGGAGAACAACCTAATATGAGATGCTGTTGGTTTGCAAGATCTGAGCAGAACTATTAATGATATGATATTCTGTAGGCCATTAACTTATATAGTCATTGAGTTTTGAGAACTGCCTTATAGAATGTTGATTTGCTCTGCCAGCACCAGATCACTGCTGCACTCTCATGCAGCAATAATACACAATATTTTAGACCACAGCAATAAAATATCACGATGTGGAAAGACACATGTCATCCTCAAAAGTCTCCCACACCTGATAAAGTTGGGTTTGACCAATCAAGGTTTCTACCAAAATTAATTTGCCAATATTTAAGACAACAGCTTTGGTTTTTCTTCTTTTCCTGCAGCATACTAACATTGGTTCTTGTTAAGAAAAAGACCCAAGAGACCTCAGGTATTATTGGCCCAATACACTTAGAGTAGGGATGTTATTGTTTTAAATCCACAAGGAAAAGAGGACAGTGATGAAATTCTGAGGCAAGTTACACGACCAGTTGCAAGAACAAATTGCATAATACAAACAAAGAGATAAGATATTTGGAAATTGGGAGGTCTTGGCATCACATACTGTGGCAGTATTGAGTGAATCCAGTATGGAAAAGGCAATGACATCACCTTTATTATTCATTCAGTCCTTTATCTGCCTTGCAGAAATCCACGTCTAAAAGAAAGTGACTGAGAAAGCCACACTGGTAAAAATCAATGATATATTAATTGTTTTTAAACCCAGATTTGAGATTTAATTCTTTGAAACAGTTTTTTACATTGTTAAACTTATTTATTTTTTAAAAAGCCCTTCTTAGTGTCTCATTTTAATAAAATCCAAACCAGCACTCTCCTACTATTCAAGATTACCTTATTACGGAATAAGGATTACACATTCTAATTATATATTGCGAGACAGTGGCTTGAAGCCTGTTCTGTAAGTTATGTGATGTAATACTGATGATGTCATTAGCTATGGTGATTTTTGGAAAGACAACATTTCCAACACCAACACCAAGTCCCCAAGACTCCCATGAAATCCCTTTCATTGTGAGGAAACTGGTGGGGGCTGCAGGGTGAGGGGAGGTCTTAAGTTCTGAAGAACTACTGTTTCCAGTAAAATGATCTAGGTGTCACAAATTTTCAGAAATTAAAGACTCTTCCCCTTGCCCCTGGTTCCACTGCTTCCCAAAACAGATTCCATAAGATCTTCAGGAATTTTCAAGGTAGGGATTGGAAATATTTTCTTTCCAAAAATTTGCAGGTTGGTGACATCACTAGCCTTATGAGGCATAACTTATTCAAACAGGATTTCAGCTGCCGTCATGTTTTATAATTTGTCGATTAGGGCCTCAATTTTATGGTGTTCTACAGATTAAAACTTTGTCTCTCCTAATACTCAGACTAGTAGATAACCATATTAAAAATCCTTTACACTGGTTCTTAACCTTGGGTTACTCAGGAGTTTTGGACTGCAACTCCCAGAAGCCTTCACCACCAACTGTGCTGGCTGGGGTTTCTGGGAGTTGCAGTTCAAAAACATCTGAGTAACAAAGGTTAAGAACCAGTGCTTTACTATATGAAGATGAAATATAACAGACACGATCAACCCTGTTTTCCAAATCTGATGTTATTCCTAGAACTCCCCCCCCATTTCTTGATGTGACATAACATTGGAGATCTATAGAAGCAATATTATGATCGTTAGCATTTCTTCCAATAGTTCACTTAAGGGATGCTGATTCCTTTAGGATGGCAACGTTATCAGTCGTCTCTTTGCAGCTTTATATAGCTATCTCCAGGTATTTTCACCTACAACTCCCAATATTCTCCAAATATTTTCACCTACAACTCCCATTACCCCACTGAACACTGCCAGTGTGAATTGTAGTCCAAAAATCTGAAAAGCCAGCCATTCCCTATCTCTACCTTAAAGAAACACCCAGTTCAGCCAATAAATAACTCTGCACTAAACTGTCTCAGTGAGAGATCAAGGAGTTCCCAATAGAGCTGTTGGTACTTAATAGTAGGTTGTTTCTCCTGGGTAAGATTGCCAGGAAAGATTTCAGCAGTGGCCAGGCTACTGCAAAATGTTGGCAGCTTGATTCTGATCAGAATAAAAATAAATCATAAGCTTACAATGCATGTGTGCATCTTAAAACAAAAACAGGTCTTGAAACTAAGATATACTAACATATGTCTCACCCGCCCACCCCTTATCTTAACTAGCCCTATTTGTATACTAATTCTTCCTGACTGCTGTTCACAAATCAGTCAATCTGACCTGTGTTGTAAACTTCACTGATAAGTCAATGCTGTCATGAATTTGATAGTTACTGGGAAGCTGGTCTTCCAGGTTTGCTAACATACTGAAGGATGCATTTTGACTGAGGAAATGGTAGAGAAATGTGCTAATAACCTGTAGTCTAAGACAAGGAAAGCAGGACCCTGAAATAGAAATCATTCTGGACACATCTTCAGAATCCATTCAGGGCTCCTAACCTGATTTAGGTGGCTTGAAGGTGGATAACTAAACCTACAACTTCCACCTCTAAATGCTGAGGTGGCAGTGACCCAAACAAACAAAGAGGCTCTGGGACTCCTTGGGGCTGGATTTTGTTTATTTTAAGGGTTGGCTCCTTAGTCCACAGTGCATGAATTCCACAGAGCTACAAATACTCCCTATGATTGGAGGTGGTGTGCGGGAGAAACTTCTTCTAGGATCCAGTTTTTCCTCAATGTTTTGACTTCTCCTTAGTGCCCTTTCCAAAATCAAATAAAAAGCTACCTCAGCTGTGGTCTTCCTCCCATTCAGCCAAAAGGAGTGTGATTTACTTTCAATAGAAAATATATAGGATTAGATGTTTGGCCTATAGACTTTTTTTTGCCTTATTCACCTCTGTGCTCTGCCTGGGGCATGCTGTCATTCTGCATCAGTTTGAGACAGGCAAGAAAAACCAGGCCAGCAGCATCAAGCACAGATCCTGTCTGGCAATTACCAAAAGCCCATGCTTCACTGAGGTTTCCCTCTCTGAACCCTGTACAGAGACTCCTTCAACCTTCCCTCCCCCATCCTTCAATACACATTACATGAGCAGGTGGCATGGGACAGCTGTTTCTGAAAAAAAAGATGAACACATAGCATTTTGACTGGAAAGAGAGCAAATGAGTTGTTCTTTCAAGGAACCATTGTCTCCCTTCACTGGTTTGCCCTGTTTTTCCGTCTGCCCCAGCACAATGAGGCAAGCAAAGATACAAAAGGAAGCGGTGGCTGCTTTTTTTCTTCCAGCCATCTACCTGTCTTCTCTTCCGTAGGGAAACATGATGGGACTAACTTGAAGGAGAACACAACTTACTATCTCTGCATTACCAGTTTCTCACTGCTGTGCAGTGAGTTAAGACTGGGGCTGCTGGGCTTAATCCCTGCTGCCATATTCCTCAAAGGAAGACCACCGTCTATGCCAGCTTAGTCTCTCTTTGAGTGGCCAGGAGTTTAGCAGTTTGGGCTTAGTGCACCAAGGGAAACTACAGGTGAGTGAAGAAGTGGTGGTCACTCCCTTTTTCTACAGGTGGCATGGATCAGCCTCTGCTCCACCACCTAAAGGGAGTAACAAGAACATTGGTGAGTCCAAAGCAATCAAACAGATACAGCGTTTCAGAGGAAGCAGCCTTGACAGAAAGGGCAGGATACAATTAGAAGGTATGCAGCTGCTCCTTGTAGTAACATTTGCCCAATTCCCCAACTGGTTGCTACACCTCCCAAGGTGTAGCACTGGTTCCCAACCTTGAGTCCCCATACAGTGGGGTCTTGACTTGAGAACTTAATCCGTATTGGAAGGCGGTTCTCAAGTCAAAAAGTCTGTAAGTCAAGTCTCCATTGACCTACAGTGCATTGAAAACCGATTAATCCCATAACAGGCTGTTTTTGTTCCATTTTGGTTTTTTTCTGGTCTGTAAATCAAATCTCAGTCTGCGAGTCAAACCTATATTTTGCAGCCAGAGAAGTCTGTAACTCAAAAGTCTGTAAGTCAAGGGTCCACTGTATGTTCTTTGACTAAAACTCCCTGAAGCCTTCACCACTAACTGCGCTGGCCAGGATTTCTGGGAGTTGTAGTCCAAGAACATGTGGGGACCCAAGGTTGGGAACCCCTGATAGGGTCTAGATATTACCACTGGCTGAGGCTGGAGGGAAGATAACCTACCCACATGCTTCTAAGTTCTTTCCATAACCAGAAAGTAGTCCTGCAAATAGCAGAACCTTCTTTAGCATTTGGCCTGAAGACATCCCAAGTAATAACGAGTTTTTATATAACAGTAAACTCTTACTCTTTTTTTTTTAAATACAAACTTGTAGCCCAGTAAAAAAAATAAAATGAAAAAGAGAGGGAATACATTTTAGAGAATAAGCAACAACAATACAGAATGACTACTGATCTGATCTTGAAATCCCAATCCAAGTGAATTTACAAAAAAAGGGCATGCAATCGTAATATGCACTTACCACTGAATTCAATGTACCTTTCTTAGGTACACATGCATCAATTTGCTGCTAGCCTACCTGATCGGATTGGCGTGAGGACCATTTTAGGTCGGAGGAGAAAGGGCTTCATGCCCCGGACAAGAATATGGGCGGCGGCCCCGCTCCCACCCAGCGTTTCGGAGTCCCACCCACCTGTGTACTGCGACGGCTCGTCCTCAGGAAAGGTCTGCGCTGAAGCTTTCGCTCCGGGGACTGAAACCGAGCAGCTGCTGGAGATGCTCCTTTAAACCAGCCCCGCCGCCCAGAGAACCACTCGAAACCTGGGAGCGACAGCTCCTTACTCCCAATCAGGGGCCGTTGCGCCTACTCCCGCCTTCTTCCCTTATCCTACCAATGAGCAACGGGTGACGAAGAAAAGGAGGGGGGATGGTGTGAGAAAATGACGCTCCGTGGCCAGAGGAAGGGCACCCAATGGGCACGCCGTTGAGGCCCGGGCCGGCGGATCAGTGCGTGACGTCGCAGCCCGGCGGCCAATAGGAGGCGTGCTGCCGACTGCGGGGTGAGACCAGCGCGGCTGCAGGTTCTCTGGTGAGAAAGAGGAGACGGTCGCTTAGCAACGGGAAGAAGGCGATCAGCTCAGGAGCATCGTGTTACTAGGAGGGAGGGAAAGTCGGGTGTGAGAGAAACAGAGAGGATATAAAAGAGTTCTGGCTACCAGCACAGGACGGAGGGGTGGGTTGGGGAGGAGTGCCTTGAAAGAAGTAGGGTACGTCCAAGATATTTAGCACCAAACAACCCTACTCTTGTCCTCGGTCTAAGACGGTGCATTGTATCCATACCAAACCAAGTTGTTTTGACAGATGAGAGAATCATGGAAGCACCTTCGTCCACATTAGTGGCATGTAAAAAAAATAATGAGGAAACAATGTGCCCTTTCCAAGCATTCAAAATCTATTCTCCGGGCCCAAAATCCTATTGCAGGTTTCAGAGCTGACCCATTCTCAATGGGATTCATTCAAGTGTTGACTTAACTGAGTCTATTTTAACTGGTACCAGTGAGTGGTTTTTATGCATGAGGCAGCTGCCTCACTAGACCTCACTTGACCTATGGGGAAGGCCAGCTGGATGGGTCTCTCCTGAAACAGAGTGGCAAATGAAACTCCCATTTGCTTTGACAGCTCATGTTTACTAATTCAATAAGTTGTTTTTCAGGGTTTTTCAGGGTTTTTTTTTTTTACCTTGCATGGTTGTTCATGGACCTGATAAAAATATTACAGAAAATTAATTCAGATTGAAGTAATCTTAAATTTGCTAATTACTGGCTTCTCATGTCTAAAAGAATGAGGTGGCATGAAATATTTCTGCCCAAGATTGTGGAAAGCTGCTTCCAAAAAGCTGCTTCCATTTATAGACAGTCCTGGGCTAGCTGGTCAATTAAGGCAGTTCCCTGCAGGGCTATGTGGAAAATCCATATTTAAAATGAGTTGCTGAACAGCAACAGTTATTAAAGGGCTATTGAGGAGATCATACTGGGGACCACATTTTCTTAGTTTGCAATCACTTTTCATTCTGGAAATGGATTATTCAATTTGATAATTATGCTGGCCATTGCTCAGCCAAAGCCTAAGATTGCCCATGTTTTCATTTGGTAAGTGTAATGTAGCATACACTTACCTCAACTTTCAATACACTCAACACTCTTTGAGCAGTATATTGACCCTCCAATCTTGTTAGCAGGTGATATGAATGTCATCAGAAGATTTAAATTACCTTCCTGAGAGGAATTCTAAGTACCCAGGAGTTAACAAAGCTGGACAATCCTTTTTTGGTCTCATCTATAAATGTCACCTGTATATACCATGTTTCCCCGAAAATAAGACAGGGCTTTATATTAATTTCTGCTCCAAAAAAAGTATTAGGGCTTATTTTCAGGGGATTTTTTTTCATGTACAACAATCTACATTTATTCAAATAGAGTCATGTCATCTTCTTCTGGTTGCTGCACAATGGTGGAGGGCAGGGTTTCACTTAACGGACTTATTTTTGGGGTAGGGCTTATATTACAAGCATCCTGCAAAATCATCCTAGGGCTTATTTTCAGGTTATGTCTTATTTTGAGGGAAGCAGGGTATATAATGGGACAGAGGTAGACCCAGACTCAAGTCTATACACATTTATTGGCCCAAAGGGCAAACGTATGATAGATTACATGGTTTGTTCACATTCAGTATTGTCGTCCTTTGAAAATGTTAAAGTTCTTAGTACGCCCGAGAGTGATCATATGCCAATTCAACTGTCACTTTATCAATTAGAAAATCATTAATAATAATGCCATGCAAGGAAAAAAATGTGATAGTTCATGGAGAGAGAAGGTTGCGATGCACCGGAAATTTACAAGAATAGATAAATTTATTTCTCTCTTATTTATTTCTCTCTTCGTTTTGTAATTCCAATATATACCTGGCCACAACTGCACACCACTGCAGGAGTATACCGGATACCTTGCAGTGTGGACAGGTATATATTGGAACCACAAAACGAAGCATCCACACCAGAATCAAAGAACATGAGAGACACTGCAGACTAAAACCAGAAAAATCTGCAGTAGCTGAACATGCCCTAAAACAAACTGGACATGAAATTCTATTTCAAAATACCGAAATACTGGACAACACCAGCAATCATTACATCAGACTGCACAGGGAAGCCATTGAAATCCATAAGCACCAGCAGAACTTCAACAAAAAAGAGGAAAGTTTGAAACTCAACAAAACTTGGCTCCCAGCTCTCAAAAATGCACCGTGCAAAAGGTGAACGAACTCTACCCAGCCACAAGGACCAGGGATCACTACACACAAGAGACCAGCTAATGACACCCATCAACCACAGTGACAGATAATCTCTCCTTCTTATCACAAGAATACACCCACAACAAGACACACTAATCACCCATCTACAGAAAAAGACAAAAGCCCATCTCACAGCCATAAATACTCCACTCCCTAGCCAACTACACCAGAGCACAGAGTGCTGTCCTCTGAAAATGCTGGCCACAGAGACTGGCGAAATGTTAAGAAGAACAACCTTCAGAACACAGCCAAAGAGCCCGAAAAACCCACAACAACCATTAGATCCCGGCCATGAAAGCCTTCGCGAATACAGAAACCGTTTACGTCTGAGACTGGATTCAAGTTTAGCCCTAAAGATGATCAATCTATTAAAGTGGACCTATTGAAGCAAGTATTGATGGATTTGGACTGATTACTTTAAGCAACTGGACAACTTTCACTTGGAATACAATTATTTGATATCTGGGACATACTGTAATGCTACAACAAGGAAAATTTTGGGATGAAACAAAATCTATCAAGCAATTTTAGAAATAGTGAGATCCCACAACGAAGAGGTGAAATTATTCAATGAGAAGTTAAGGAAGGACTTTAGTCAACAGGAGACAGGGAATAATGAACAAGGATATGAGAGGGTGGTGTATTATGTATGCCAACCAAAGGAGGGGCTGGAGGAAACCAGAGGAGAAAATTTAGGAGATCTAAATCTAACCCTGGATATGGACCAGTGGAGTTTTTGTGCATGTCTTGTCCATAGACAGCAGTAAAAGGCTCATTAAACCTGCTGGCCCCTGTACTGTACAAGTTTCTTGGCACCAGCTTCAAGCCAAGCCATGGAATGCATTTGATGTGAGGTGAGCTAAGTGACTTGTAATGACATAGTGGTCAAGGCAGCCAGGGTCACTAGTCTCAGGGAGGCACTATTCTGGTGACAGTCTGCTGGCAATATCAATGTTGAAGGGTCTCCTGAAGCTGGCCTTTGGCATGGGGACAAGGGCAGAAGCACAAAGTAATATACAGTATCTTCAGGTAAATGAAGGTGATATAATTAGAGAAAATAATAGGAAACTTGTGGTTAAGAATATACTGCAATATGAGTGTGGAGTAATAAGGATGGTCATGGAGAAATAAGATGTAGCAAGATAAGGCCACTGAGGAGATTGCAGTGGCTAAAGTGGATAATAATAACTAGCCTTGGCATGAAACATTGTTTTCTTTAAGTAGAAGTGACATGAGTTGGTGAGAAGCTGACAGTAGGATGCAAAAGAGAAGAAGGAATCCAAATGTAAGGTGAGGTAAGGTCATAAGAAGCATTAAGGCAAACTCTCTAGCATATTTTAATAGCACTTTAATCAAGCTGTTCCTGTTCTGGTGTCCCAATTTTCATGAGTGAAAGAAGATATTGATTGAGTAATAGGTGCTTTCTGAATAGCAATAGACAAGATCAGTTTTATGACCCTTGCTTTTCCTGACTTGAAATCGGATTAAAAGTTTTCCCAAGAGGATGTACACACTGATCCAAATACCATGTAACTATTGTGTGACTTTAACATGATTTCCAAATCCTTGATCTGGCTATTGATTCATTTAGATAGTGGAACCCTGCCGTGAGTTGGTAAGGAGAATAAAGTCTGACCCTTTAGAGCAAGGGAGCCTGCCTAAAAATTCAGACTAAAAATCCCTCTCTGACTTCCACTGTACTGGGTAATTACCAGCCAGTATTACATTGTTGGGCAAAATACTGGAGCATGTGGTGGCTTTTCCATTCCAAGAGCTTCTGGAAAATAACAGATAAGCTACATTCATTTCAGTCTAGCTCCAGAACAGGTTATGGCACACAGATGGTTTTGGTAACCCTGAGAAATGATCTACACTGGGAACTGGACAAGGTGAGAGTATGCCCCTGTTGGTTTTGCTGGATCTCTTATTGCGCCATTCTGGATCACCTCTTTGGGATTAAGGCATTATTTTGTAATATCTCTGGTCCTTTCTGGAGGGCAAGCTCAGTATGTGGTGCTGGGGGAATCCTGTTAATTGGCCTGTGGATACCTCAGGATTCTACTGTATTCTGTTCTCCATGCTATTCAGGAGCTGTGCAGCTTGCCCAGGGCTATATAGACTGATTCTTCACACAGAAAGGTACATTGAACTTCCAATCCTTGACTCCAGAGCCAGATACCTAATTCCAACTGGAGGCCAAAATGCCCATATTTTTGTTTATTCTCAGGTCCTGGCAGCTCCATTAAGTTTTTTTTTTTTTTTTTTTTTGTAGAATGTTTCAGAGGTTGGAAATAAAAAGTTCTAAATGACAACAGGCAAGACTTCTTTCTTTAATTGCACTGTTGCCAAAAAGAAATCTGATTGTTCCAAATGAAGCTTTCTAAATGAGCAATGACTTAATGACTGAAAGTGATTCAAACAAACAATGAATGATAAATGAAATTTGAATGAG